GAGTAAGCTGGTAAGTTAGAACTCTTGCATAACTTCTAACAGGATCATGGAGATACTTTCTAATTGTTTCCTAGCTTTTTTTTAAAGCAAACTAACAATTAACAATTTGATAATAATGTAAATTTAATGCTAATGTAGTCAGTTGCGTGAAGTTCAATCTATAGCATTCTATCTGTTTGGGTTCTTTTTTCAAGCGATAACCAGTTCATTTTACATTTGCAACTAAGAGAAGCCCTGTGGACTGTTCTCTCTCCTTATCTCTATTTGCAGAAATGAGAGATTTTCTGTCAGAAACTGATCTTCAAGTGGCCAACTCAGAAAGATTTTTGCAACTGAATTGGAAAATTCTTTTGCTACAAAAACACATCTCCTTGCTGAGCAATTTCTGACCAGACTAAGGCGATACCTGTCTTTTTAAAACACTCTCCTGCAAGTATTTGTCATTCAAAACTATTTCCTTCCTGATTGATAAGGAAAATTGTTACTTGAGCAGGTGCTTTCCAAAGCTATAGCACTCTCTTGCTACTTCTGCGGTACAGTACTTGTCACTCTCACTATTGACAAAGCCAAGCAGAAAAAGAGAAAAGTCCATTGTTTAAGGTGAATGTAGCTAGTTGCACTTCAATTAAAAGATAAAGGGGAGGCAGGGGGGAGGTGGAGTTGTTGGCTTACTTTAGCATATAAATTGACCCTTTCAGCTGGAAACCTATCTCACTTGTGTTAGAAAGATGACACCTCGCACCCTTCCCTTCACAGTCTCATTTAAACTAAAGAAAAGAGATCTGACGTCCCCTGGTACTTACAGCGGCAGTGCTGTCTCTTCTATAGTATAAATATTCTGCTTTTGGGATAGATTCTGTTGGCTAGAAGGAGAACTGAGGTGTGCCAGCAACTACAGAACCCCTTTAGCACTTCATCTGATGGAAACTTCTGGGAAACCAGCTTAGAGGCTGCAGTTTAAGTAGCTAGAATCAGGCCAGCTTTTCCTTGGAAGGAGATGAGCCAGCCTTCATAGATACATTTTTACTGATGAAAACAGTAACTGGATTAGTGGAAACTTCCTACTATTTATAGATCTACTTTTCAAGGACATTCATAAGGTTAAAGCAAGCCAAAAATCATACTGACTTTTTTTCTCTCTCGAGTCACAGTTCTGGGGTATGATGTTTGGTATTCTGCATGTAAACTTTTGATAAAAGTCTGCTGGCAGAACCTTCAGTCTTAGATTCTTAAATATGAACAACTTAATTCCACATCTAATAATTTTCCTGAGCATCTATTGCAGAGCTGTCGGAAGCTGTATATATTCACTGATTTACAAATCAATTTAACTATGCAGATATTCATAAGCATGTGCCCTGCCAATGGCTCCTGCAAGCCAGTGTTGTGAATGGTGAGGAATACTTGGTACTGTGTTATTAACAGACCAAAGAGAAAGGCAAGAGAAACCCATTACCACATTGATATACAGAACTATAATTTAAAAAGGAACAGAAATCATGAAGCAATAAATCAGCGAGAAAGTTTGCTGCAGAACATGTCTGTGACAGTGAGTGTGATCAGGCAGCATCACACAATGAAGCTGAACAAACAGTGTTAGCTTAAGGGCTTCTGGTTGTTGTTAAATTCTATAAGCTTTCCCTGCTAAAATATAAAATGGGAATGATACTACCAAAAGATGGAGTAAACAAGAGGTGGGTTTGTTGCTAAACAGAAAGTATGTAAATGCTTAAAAATGGATATTGCAGCTTGTTCTGATAGGACTACCCCCAACAAAAGTTTGTTCTGGAAACAGTCATGTTGTTGTAACTCCTGTTATGAAGACTTCCAGATAAGCTGCAAATTTTCTGGTTCTAGAAATGGCTGAAGGGAGGAATAGAATATGAAAATAGGCAAGGCTCTTTTTTAGGAACAATTGCAGTAGCACAAGGGAAAGAAAAGGAAGTGTGAGCACTGGCATTCTTTGTGCACGGGATGTGTGTTTGCCACAGCTCTTCAAACTCACCCAGGCTTAAGGTGGTGGGGGCACTACAGGAGGTAGTCCTGCAGGCAGGAGGCCCTTCTCTCAGCTCATGCTTAGCAATCGTAGTTGTTCTCTACCTCCACTCCCAGGTATGTCTGTTGGGAAAGAAACAGGCCTGAGAGCCTGTGTGGAGAAAATACACTGAGTTGTCTTATCAGTGAGAGGAACAAATGGAAAATGGAACGTAAATTATAACATTGCAAAGTAAATGACATCATATCTGTAACTAGCTTGTAGATCCTTTAACTCAAGGTCTAAGTATATTTTGTATGCACAGTCAGCACTTCCTCAGGAGTTACTTCTCAACAACAAAAATCCAGTATCAGTTGTAGATGTCATGAATGCAAGGGGGAACCAAACCCACTTGTCTTGGACTGCTGAGACAGACTTTTATCAAAACTTCTGTCTTGATTTGACTGTGGGTATTTTTTTCCTTTTGGACACTGCTCAGACTATTCTACTCGGTGGCAGTTCCAAAATGCTGTAGTAAAAGTTGCAGTGATTCCTTGCATTTTATTGAGTTTCATGTAACACTCATAAGGATAACTTATTTCTTCTCTCCAATACTGGAAACCCATTGCCAATTTCAGGTTTTGCTGTTCAGTGTGATTTGTTTGTTCCAGTCCTGCTGAAAAACAGAGATTAGCTTTGTTGTATGATCTTCATGAACTAATCTGCCTAAAGCCAGCAGGGCTTCATACAGGCAAGTTCAGGCTTGTGGTTGTATTGTAACTTACTTTCTTGCACCTCGCTTGTCTAAGAATTACAAGTCACTTGTTTAACACTCTTGCAGCTGAAGTACGAAAAGCTATTGTATATAAGCCTTACAAGGCCCTATGAAACATCAGTCACAGACACACATACCTTAATATATTGTGTTTTTATATGTTTGGGTAAAAAAAACGAAATGCCTGCAGCAGTCTTTTTATGTATTAGTAACAAAGTAACAGGTGGAAAAACAAGTTTGCCATTTTTCATGCATTATTTATGCGGCATATGCTTTTCCTTTCCTCTTTTTAACATTAAAATTTAGTTACTCTACTTACCCATCATCTGAAACAAGATGAATATTTCATGTTAATTAACATCTGTTCAATGATATGGTAGATTTAAAAAAATCTAATCTGAATCTTTTTGACTCAGAGATCAAAACAGCTTGGGAAAGAGGGGAATTAGGCTAAAACTGTAATGAAGTGACATTCCTCTTTAAAATATAATGTAAGGTAATGTTTTTGTTCTGTTTTAAATTGTGAAATGGGAGCATCACACCAAGAACAAACTCAGAGTAACTGGAAATTGTAATGGTCTTGATAGTCTCTGAAATATTCACTCTTGTAAAGTCTGATGTGGGAACAGCTAATTGATGAACAGTTCACTGCCCGCTTAAGAGCATGTAGGGCACAGTGTGAATTTTGTAGTACCTTTTAAAATCACTTGTGTCAAACTGAAAGAATTTGGCATTAATTTTAGGCTAAGTAAAGTATATTTAAAAAGCAAGTTGATCCTTGGGTTTAACTCAATATGGCTTTTTTTTTTTTTTTTTTATAAACAGTCCTAGACTTTCTGAGGAGCTCTTTGTATCTTTTAATATTTAAATATTCCAAAGCTTTGAGGAACAATCAGAATTTTAATTGTTTCATGTATTGGGCAAGTACTTCGTTTTACTGTCTTACACTATTTTCTTCCACATGATCATTAACAAAGACAAGGAAATAATTACTACAGAATTTTGATCCTGAACTACAAAAGAAAATGCTATCATAATCAAGAGGTGCTGGGCTACTGCAGTGGAAGTGAACTGTGATGTATCCCTTCACTGTTTGTCTGATTATGAAATGGGGAAGGGATTTTAGAATAGCAGGATTCTTTGATTCTGTTCCTCACACGGAGAGCAATGTGTAACCTTAACAACAGGAGAAGTGTTAAAGAGAGTATTGCCAAGTATGTGTTCTAGCAGATTGTATTCCAAATAGCATACAGCTAAGCTCCTGAGAATTGGTGGTTAGGCCTTTTGGTTTGCCCTTTAGAGATAGAAATCCATTTGGGGTAAAATCCTAGCCATCATCTTATAGCTGGTTCTAAATACATTTTTCAAGCTGGTTCCACAACATGATAAGCCTGTGACTAGAAGACAGAGGTCCTTGAGGAGATGGAGGCCACGCCTGAGCTGTCACCAGCAGTGCAATTTGCCCAGTTGGCTGTATGCTTCTACCTGGGTATAAGAGACTTGCTGGAAGGGAGAGGAACCAAGAGAAAATAGCAATAGTAGCAGCCTGCTACTAGCCACCTTTATTTTCTGATTTTTCACTTGCTGCTGTTTGGCTCTGGTGCAGAGCGAACGGGCTGTCAGTGAGATACAGACAGGTGTCTGTATGCATATGCTATATAAGTCCATGCAAATATATACATATCAAAATAAAGCAAATATTTTGTGAAGGATAGAACTTAATGTACAGCACTTGCTGTGAAATGGTAAAAGGTCTTTTTCTTCCAGTGCAAGTATGCTGTACCTAGAAAGTAGTGTCTGCTTATTAAACCAGCTGTGGGCTCAAAGTATGTCGGCTGTGACTGGAAAGGCATTATTTGGCTGGATAAAAACAGAAGCCATAGTACTTCTTACCCACCCTTGATTTTCAGCATCATGCAGATGAAGTCTTGATTGTGGTCAAACATAGGCAGTAAGAACACTGGGCTAGAATATGTTTTTTTCACTAGGGAGCCATATGAGGCACACAGGCAGTGAAGCCCTATGTGAAGGAGGGAATAGAGCACTAGGAGGTCATCACCACCTAACACCATAGGTGCCTAACTCTCAAAATTAGCAACAATATCTTGTACAGTCCTATTTGTTACTTACTTGTTTTGTCAGGACACCAAGGCAGGATACATAGACTTGGGCATCTTCCAAGGTCTTAGAAACTTTGGAAGACTTGGTTATCTCTTTTATGTCAATGAGACTGTGAAATATCTAAAAAGATTTTAAATATTTAGAAGTAAGGGACCTTGTGGAAAAAGTTGTGATAAAACTGAGCTCTGGAGAAATTGAAACTTCTTAACTCTGAGCATTAAATCAGTTTCAGATATTTACCTGAATGAGTGTGAGCTAACTTTAAATGAGAAATTATGCTTTTTTACATGTCCAATAATGTCATGATGTTCAGTTTCATTTCTCATGGCTCATAATCAATATCACTTTGGGATTTTATTTTACTGGACTAGTACATGAATACATTGTGTCAGGTTTTTATTTCCTTTAACCCATGTTTAATCTGTTTTAAGTTATTTGCTTGTTGTATTGCAGAACCATCTCTGTTCACAGCCTTAGTGAGAACTCTGCATATTTTAAAGTAAAAATTGATCTGAGAATAGCATTTAGAATGTGAAGTTCTATTTGCTTCTGGTTTTGTTTTATTCACAGATTCGATTATTTATTTGCTGTTCTAGCAAAACATAACTATGTGGAGCTGCTGCTTCAGGGCACTACATCTAGCACGTATAATGGACCTAAAATACATTGTTATACTCTGAAATCTCTTCCCCTATTCTCTTTTGTTATTCTTCCCCTTCGCCTTCTGCAGTCACCTTCATAAAATGGCATTGAATGGTCATGTGTCAATGCCATTTTATAAAATGAACTATAGGGAGATTTACTCCTTGCTTCCTATTTCATGTTCGTTCATGTGGTAAGGAAAGGCAGACTTGACCTCGTCCTACTGATTTATGTGCACATCAGTATTAATTCTACAGATTGTGGGGGTGTTGGGTTAGGTTTTTCTAAGCTTTCTGGACAAATTGTATTAGAAGCAAAGTACAGACAGAGCTTGCAAATTTTTACATTACTTTGTCCTTCTTTATGATTTTTCCACATTAAATACTATTGACCCTTTTCACCTTCTTTAAAACATCTGTTGCACAATTAAATCCTTCCTATGACAAAATGATAAATTTAACACACTTGAGGCTTAACAGATGTTTTGTTCAGTCATTTATTTGTTATACTGCATTCTTTGCAACTTTCTATTTTACTGCCTCTCACGTACTACTGGCTTCAAAGGACTTTGTTTCTAACTTTCCCTTGTCGCCAATGCCTTTCTTTTGAGCAAAGGGTAACTTGGAAAATAGTATCTTGACAGAAACAGCACCTAGGTAATATACTTGAACTACATTCTCTCCATGAGGAGCTTTGACTCAGCCTTTCATTCTCCTGTTTAATGTAAATAATTTTTGGTTTCATCTCTAAGACATGAAGTTACTTGACCTGCCCTGGATGCAAAACAGGACAACAGGAGATAAATGAGTGATATAATTAAGCACTCTGTCCGTTCCCAGACATCTAAGAAAGTCTCTGTCAAGAGACTTGAAATCTTTCAAGCGCAACCTTCTTTAACTAAAACCAAACTGAAGTATATTTCAAGTAAGGTGATGCAGTTAATACTTCTATTGATTCTAATATAGCTATTTAGTAGTTTTCAAGTTTCAGTGATTTTGCTGGTAGCTGTTAGTATTTGTTTCTTTATTGAGTTGAGGTTTTTTTTACTAACTTGAACTAATTCTTCTAGTCTTCTATTGGTAAGACCAGTCAACATAAGATATAAGCAGTGCAATTACCCAGTGTAAACAGTGAGGCTGAAGTGCAACTGCCGCAGGAGTTCTGCATTCTGGTCTTACAATGAGTATTTCTGTTAGAAATTGCTTTCCTTGTTTTTCATCCAAGCAAAGATGGTCTTTTAGGATGTCTTCTTGCTCATGTGATGCTGTGTATGAAGAAATAACACATATTTGGGGTTAGTAATTTTTTTTTTTTTGTAACAAACCTAACAGCATTCATGGAATTCTAGTCTTGTCTTATTTTCCCAATAGAAAATATAGGCACAACCAGCAGTCTTGGTTAAGCCTAAAAATATTCCAGAGACTCCTGAAGTTTCAGCTTAAAAGATCTTTGTACCTGTGCATTGAACCTATTTGAAACCAAAATAAATTTACCATGGGACTTGGCGTTACTGTTCATGGTCATAGTTCAGATAATAGCTGTGTTATGCAGCATGGTTTCAAGAACCATGTAAGAAAAATGTTTAGGGTTTTTTTCAAGTTATTTAAGATACTTGAGGTGTTCTCCCATAATCCCTGTCTGAAAGAGATTTTCTTCTCTTCCCTGTAGTGCACTTGAGGTAATAGCAAAATAACAAAGCAAGTATCTGTAAACATTAAAACTCTTTTAGCTTTCTTAACCAAATGTGGAAATAGTTAATGTGCCTCTGCTCTTCTAGTCACAAAGATTTCATGTTCAGGGTATGGGGGAATGGAAAGCAGAAAAAACATCTTTGAAAGGCCGGTATTTTATAGTTATGTTTTTCATCAAGACCAGTGGTTTTGGATTATTAATTTGCTGCATAATATAATGCCAAAGAACTGGTTCAAGTTTACAGCATGTCTGCCACAAACTGGACTGAAGTGGCCTGTTATCATGCAGTCTGGTTGTGTTACTCTGTTTGATAGGTTTGGGGGTTGCCAATAAAGGATGACAAGGTTAATACCTGGTTATTGTATAGCATGAGCTCTCATGTATTAAACCTCATCATGAGCAGCTTGAATACAGAGCAAAGTGGTTTTAGTTGATGTGAGAAATAGATATTTGTCTTTACCTGAAGTAGTTTCCTTTACCTTTTTACAAGATTAATAATTAGTGAACACTAGAGTCTGACCTTAGGTTATGCTGTTAATAATCCAGAGTAACTGACTGTCTTTATTAGAGCTGTTCTGTTACATGTAGGCTAGGGGTTGTTTTGCCTTTCCTGAATTAGTCTTCTACAAAAACTTGTCTCCTTGTATAAATCTTACTTGGGAGGGTACAAAATGTGGCTAACCTGTTGTCTTAAACCAGGAATAAAAACCATGCTTTATATTCACTGTAAAAAGGTGCTCTATTTATTCGAAGGGCAGGATCTGACCTGTAAGTTAAATCTTAGTAGGTCAAAGTGTGCTTCCTATGGGTTCTTTTCAAAATGTTGATTCGAAACATGAAAGAGGAAATTAAATGGGTGAGCCAGTACATACAGTGCCTGTGGATTACCACAGGCAGTAGGAGATCCAGCATTAAATGGCTTTTACCTGATGCGCAGCATAGAGAGTCTTTGGTTGAGAGAAAAAGAAAATGCAATTAGAGATACAGTCACTAGTATATAAAAATACTATTTGAAAGTGTTCTAGAACACTCTAAAATAAACTTGTAAAATAACCCGGCCCAAACCATTTAGAAGGAAGTGTATTTTTTAAAGTTCTCTTCATTTCAGGACATGTTTTGGCAGCATTCTTTGTAATAAAGATGAAAAAACCCTCTTTCTAACCAAGCATTGAAAGCCGAAAGACTTGAAGGCTGCAGTCAGTTCAAGTGCTGTGTGAGACAGAAATAACAACCTCCCAGCGTCAGGTTTTCCATTCTTGCCGCACCAGGTGAATGGGTGTTTTATTGAGCGTCTGCTCTGTGGTGGCAGCGCAGGCCAGAGGAAGGGAGGGTGAGAGCTGAGTCAATACCCGACCTTGTTGGGTGTCTGTCAGTGCTCGGACGCTGGGGCTGGCTGCATTAGCAGTGCCAAAGGTTAGCCGAGAGTGCTGCTGTGGCAGCAGATGCTCAGAACGGGCTTTTTACAAACAGGGAGAGTAAGCTTGCTTTTAAAAGGGCAAAAAGTCAAGGCAGTTATTTTGAGGGGCACTTCAACACACACCCTGAATTTCTAGAACTTCCCCAGTCATTTTCTAGTCTGCATATTTAAACCTAGCAAACTTTGTAATTTTGTTTGTGCTTCTTGGTTATTTTATTCCTGATTTCTTTTCATACTGTTTTCCTTTTAAAGTTGCAGATAAGTGTTTACAAAAGTCTTTTAAAAGTCTGTTAGAGTCTAAAATGCATCTTTCAGTTGAGTTCAGTGAAATAGAAACGCAGTGGACTGAAGTGCATTCACTACTACAGCCTTAAAATAACAAGGTGGCTTACTCATGTCTGTTACTTCAAGTGTTTATGTAACGACATTGTATTTACTTTTTCTATTGCATATGAGCAACTAACTACTAGAGCACCTCTCGCTCTCATAGTATTTATATTTCAGTAGTCACCAGCAACTTTAAATACAAACAAAAAGAGGGACCCAGAAAAAAAAAAGATAGCTATAAAAAAAAAGAATACAGGGCCCTCTGTCTCTCTCACCTACCATCCTGAGTATGAATTCCCTTTTTCTTGCTAATCAAGAAGTTAACTTACTGTATTCTAATTCCTCTTCCAACTCTCAAGTAGTCTGTTGTGCAAAGAGACAGAGAAGTGGGGACTGGGGCATGAAATGGGAGATGCTGTAAGGAAAGGCACATTTTTCTTCCTGAAATGCCTCATGTTCTCCCATAAACAGTAATGCAGACCTATGTTTTTTGTTGTTTAGCTAGATCTGTCTGTACGTTAGGAAATTGATATTGGAGGTTTAATACTGGCAGCACCCAGTATTCGCAGTGGGGTAACTGTAAGATTCCCGAAGGAGGCATGCCAGAGAACCAGCTGTGGAACAGAGCCTGCTGTTCTTGCCATGACAGTAAAACACACCTCTAGTCACGGCTCTCAGATTTGACACAGTCTGAGAATCTACTCATGGCCCCAGCACTTCCAGTTTTTTTGCAGCAGCTCCTGGGTGAGACCTAGTAACTGTGTGTACATGTCTAACATGGGTGAAGTCAGACTGGGTGCTTCAGGACACTTCCAGCTGCTCTTCCCAGCAGTGTGTTGCAAGCCAGACAAGACTGGCACGCACCGAGCGTGTCAGTGCCAGCACAAAGAAGGGAGTGGGTATGATGTGGCCATCTGCATCCAGAGCTGGATGATGTGGCTGCCTGCACCCGGGGCAGGACCGCAGCAGGCAGAGTTTACCTTGGTTTGCACACAGAACCACACCCAAAGGATTGAGGTATTTTCCCTCTTGTATCCTCCTAAAGCAAAATGAAACAGTTCAACTTTTAACTGCTCAGGGCTAAAAGCAAGCTGTGTAACTCTGTACCGGAGGGCAGCAGAGCCTAAGAGGGATATTTAGGATCTGTTGAGAGGATGCTGAGAAATCTGCTGCTTCTTGGCTGTTAGTTAATGCTGTTTGTCAGGCTGTAATCCCTGATAAAACAGCATGGAAATTAATCAGCATATGGATTAGCAGGTGTGCTGTGAATGAAAGTGAGAGGCTACTTTGTTAATTCTGAAGGTGCAGTTAGTTAATAAACATTAAAGTTTAATTTTCAGACTGAAAATGGATAGCAGCTATTTGGATAGTAACTACTATCTCTAGTTCTGACTTGGCAAGAAAAGAGGCTGTTACTAAATCAGTGTGAGCTATTCTGGAGCGAAGGAAGTATTTATTTTGTCTGGCACTCCATGTCCCTTTTGCATAATAATCAGTGAGTAATTATTTTTTCTATCCCGTATGTGCTGCTTGGTTTGTCTGTGGCCAGATCTGGTTACTTATTTAAACTATGGGGATGAGCAACAGCAAGAAATTTCCCATTCTCCTAAATATATTCCAGTTAATATTAATGTTAGTTAAATATAATTTATTACTGCTCTCTGTTAACTAACTTCAGAACTCTCTGAAAGAAACAAATATGGTTGTATGTTTATCAACAGGCCAAGTTCTGGTAGAAATTTCAAGAACACACAAGAAACTCAATGACAGCCTAGAGGAGAGTGTAAGTTAAACCATTTCTTTTTCTATTTTCCATCATAAATTAGAAATTACTTTTTTGCCAATTTGTAATAACTCTTCATTCATTTGCTTTTAAAGTTCAAAAAATTTCATAAAGAAATTATATCTGAACTGGAGAAGAAAACAGACCTGGATGTGAAATACATGACTGTAAGTACATTCAATTATAAAAATCATATTTTATCCATGTATGGCTAGTCAAAGAACTTTTCAGAAATAGGCTCCTAGCAATTAATCACTGTGTTGGAACTGAGCTTTAGATGCATAAACACTACAAAAATTGTCATACTTATTTTGTGTTAAAAAAGGAACCAGTGCAGAGCTTTAAGAATATTTTTAAACTAAAGTGGAGAGAGGCAATTGCTGAACTCATTTGCTATGTGATAGCAGCATCTCATAGATGATGGCAGTGCTTCTTAGTGACTTACTTACCCAGGTCCGGGGCTGAGTGCACTGAGATGTTTTGAATGCTTTGATTGCAGGCAACTTTAAAGAGGTACCAAACTGAACACAGAAGCAAATTAGATTCTTTAGAGAAGTCTCAGGCTGAGCTGAAAAAAATCAGGAGGAAAAGCCAAGGAGCACGAAATGTAATGAAATATGAGCACAAAGAAATGGAGGTGAGTATGTTGTCACTGATCTGTTTCTTTCTTTGTATCGGAACTGGTCAACAGCAAATGTCAAGTTATTACTGGCCACATCTGAGTCTGCTTCTAAAACTTGACTTCTGAAGCTTACCATGATTTTTGTGCATGCCATGTCATTAGTTAATACACATAACTCCTCTGCAAGTTGTTCAGCAAACAGTTAAACTTTACAATTTCAAGGAACATGCATTTTTGGTTCTTCAGAGTTGGTTTGTATTAAAGGCACTCCTAGAGTGTGTATTCCAGTTGAAATTATGCCCTATACTGCTCTCCTGTATGCATTCAGAGACTCTTTCAGTTTCTAGGTTTCACCCCTTGACCAGTACTTGATTTTTTTTTTTTTTATTATTATTACTATTTTTAAAGCGCCTCTGTATCTACACCTTTATAGAGAGGTTTACGCAGGGACTTAGCTACTCTATGCAAATTCAGTAGTCATTTGTTGTAACTTAAATTTCCCAAAGCAGGCATACCTAACCACTATTACCTGTCCTACTGATCTTAGAGCAGCATTGCCATCTTGAGGCGAAGTAAGAAATGGCAAGACAATGAAGAGAACTGAATTAGGAAGTCATAGCCTGGTTGTCACATCTCTCTCAAAAACTATCTGCTATTGATGTATTTTTTGCACAGTACTTTCACTTCATGCTAGCTTACATATTTTTTCTCCATATTTTTCTATTTCAGTTTTCAACATGATTAGTACCAGCTCCTATTTCTTACTACCTATATGACAGTCCAGGTTTTTTAAGGTATTGGACTAAGAATCAAGGATTAGCATTTAATCACAGTTTAGCCGTGAATCCTCATAACCTCAGAAAAAATAAGAGCTTAGTCTTTTTTTAACTCCTTTTCCCCTCCCTAAAACACAGTAACACAGTAGAGATGCAGTGTAACTTCGTGAGAGTAAATATAACTGCCATGGAGGAGATAAAGGCAATTAGTCTGATTAGAACACCTGTGGCCTTAAAGTTGCTCAGCACAGTTGCTGCTTTGATGCCATATTCTTATTTACTGAAGTGTTTTATTTAGAGGCTAAAAGAGTGCTGCTTGTTTTGCTTCACTTTCCCCACGCCATAACTAGATGATCTGTGCCTGATGAGATGTGGGAAGTTGTGTGTGTGCAGGAGAAGAACTTGGCGGTAGAGTCACCCTATCCCACCCTTCCAAAAGCTTTTTTCTAAGGCTTTGGGACTTCACTTCAGGAACTGGATCTAGTATCAAATAGAACTCAGAGTGCATATGATTATTTTTTCTTTCTTTCCTTAGTATTTGGAAACGGTGAGCTCTCGACAGAGTGATATTCAGAGGTTTATTGCAGAAGGCTGCAGAGAAGCTCTCCTTGAAGAAAAGAGAAGATTCTGTTTTCTGGTTGACAAGCACTGCAGCTTTACCCAGCACATGCACTTCTACCACATTCAGGTGAGTGGCATGAGTGAAGCAGAAATGAAACTCCTGAAATCTAATAATCTCGGAGATTGTAATTATCGCCTGCAGTATGTAGATCTGACTGCCATAAATAGCTAAGGAACACTGTAGTGCTAGACAGATGTGCAATATTCTCTTAAATGTGCTGTAGCAACAGTGAAGGGTTCCATGAGTTTTTAAAAAATAATATATTAAGAAAAAAAATGTATGGCTGGATCAGGTATTTCCAGTATCTGACCCTGAAAAAGGGCAGTCTCCTTCCACAATGGTATTTGTTTCACACAGGTGCTACTTACAAAAATCTTTAAGGACTTCCATTTAACTGGTGTTTCCATTTTGGTATCATGAAAATTAACAAGTAGGTCTGTGCAATTTATGAAAAAAGCCTATCTTTGACAAGTACCTTTTTAAACTTGGATGCAGTGTGCGGACTTCCTGAAATCCAAGCTGCCTGGGTGGCAGGAGATCTGCAGCGATGCCACCAAAGTGCCTGAAAAAGTCAGAATGATGATAGATGAAATAAGGACACCTGGTTCCACCCCAGTATCAGGAACTCCACTGCCTTCTCCAATGATAGAGAGAAATACCCTGGTAAGATATACTTTGATGGTTAAAGGTTCTCACTCATCTCTGCTCCCCTTGGAGCAGAGTGGCTTCACCACCTGCTTTTGTACCTAAGCATTTGGGATCGAGTCTACAATGTACCTCCGCAGGAATAATGGGTTGGGTATGAAGCAAAATCATTTTGCTGAAGTTCTGCTAGTGGAAGAACACAAGACAGAGTAGGCAGGAGCACAGCTCCAAACAAGCTCTGTTTTCAGCTGGGTGCCAGGGACTTCTGAAGAGCCCAGCCTCAGGACAACTTTTGTCCTAACCATTCATTTCCTACATTCTTATCTTACTGTGTAAGTAATAGTAATTACATACTCAATAGTTCAATATAAACAAAATGTTATTTTCTATTTTCTTTCTTCATGATTCTTATGAACTTATTGGAGCACAGGTTACATTCTAAATTCTACCTATTTGTATGTTATGTTACCATTAGTTGTTGAATTTCTGAGTTATGTTAGTAAACGTTTAACAAAAATAAAATCTGAAAAATCTGGATATTATCTGAGTGTAACTGTGCTGTTTGTGGGAAAAAAAGTCTATCATAGCATTCCCACTAACAAATGTTTATCAAGGAACAGAAGTCTCATGCAAACTATTCTGTCAGCAATTTCATCACAATATGAGGATTTTCTGAACGTCCAAATATCAATTGCTTGGGAATATTTTAGCATTGTTTTCAAAAATTAATGTTGCAAAGAAGTTTTCACCATCTCCTCAGCACCATGACCCTGTTGTTTTTGTGACTCTAGATTGGACATGATTTTTATCCTCACAATGAGAATGCAGCGAAGGTGCCCCCTGCTCCGACAGGCAGGGCCTACACCAGCCCTCTAGTTGATATGTTCAACAACCCTGCAACGGTACCCAAGGCATCTTCTGAAAAGCTAAATAATTCAGCAGGTGAGCGTCACTCTCTTAAGTGTGAATGACATCCTGTAGTGTTTAGTGTTATCTCAGGACTACTGTCATCATGTGACTTCCAGGACATATAAAGGAGCAGAAAATGGTCTTTAGACACATAAATTACCTAACAGGAGAAACGTACATTATGAGAAGAACTGTTTGCAGTAAAATCAGGTCAAGATAGGTAGATTCTGGTGTAATCCCTTTATGTGTCTGTGATGAATCCAGCTTAACTGCTCTTAGGACTTCAATCTTACCAGAATACATTCTGTAATTTTGCACAAGGTACATCCATTATTTCAGGGCACACAAAGAAACATAACAGTCTAGGTTTGGTTTCCTTGAAGAGCATTAGGGAGGAACACACATGAGACAAAATGAGCACAGCAATGTATTTATTTCCTGAAACATAAAATCCCCTTCAGATTTGGTTTCTAAGTTTCTGATATATTGGGCATTTTTAATTTGTTCTACTATTGGGCAGGAAGGGAAAGGACTAAGCTCAGATCACAAAAGATATGTAGAACTCTGCAGTGGAATTACAGCAATTCCAGCATTTCCTCCTTAAAAGTGTGTTTACAATGTATTGTACTGATCAAATAACATACAATTTGAGATCTCCTTTACGCTGTTTTCTGGTAAACATCTGGTGTCTGCAGAATGCTGAGTATCTTGCACTCACACGGATTTAGCTGGAGCTGGTTGCTCGGCACATTTGGGAATGAAATCTTGGACTTCACACATAGTGACAATTCTTTAGAATGGAAATTTTCAAAGGTCTTTTCCAGCTGGGAACGTTCAGCAGCATTTCTCATGCCAAAAAAGGGAAGAAGTAGAAGTTAAAACTTACATTGCTGTTCATGTCTGTTGGTTCAACTTTACTGTGATGGAGGTGTGTATATAAATGCACATGCTATTAAGAACTTTAAGGTGATAATAAACACTGGCAGGTAACTGAGAGGTGTCTGAGTGGAAAGTACAACGTCTCAGAACTTGGTTTGCACTCACATATTCCATTATCTACTTTTTATTTTCCCGTCAGGCTATTAAATTATTTGATTTTATTAGTGTGGCTAATTTTGCTTTTTTTTTTTTTGCTTTGTTGTTCTGTTTTTTGACAGAGAGTTCAGAGGATGCCAGTTTATCACGTTCAACTTCTGTTGCCACGGGGCTAAATATAATGAAAAGGCAAAAAGTAAAGACGATCTTCCCACATACTGCTGGAAGTAACAAGACATTGCTGAGCTTTGCACAGGGGGATATCATCACCCTTCTTGTAGCTGAGGAAAAGGACGGCTGGCTTTATGGGGAACATGAGACAACCAAAGTGTAAGATCGTCTATTACCCAGGGTTGAACATAAAGGAAAAACATGTCTCATCAGATTTTGTTTGGAGATGTTCGTAAATGCTTTTCACCTCTTTTGCTGCCTGTCACTGACTGGTGACTTGGGATCTTTCTGTAAGGTGAATCACTGCAATTACTTCAGGGAGATTTTGTACACTAATTTGGTACCACCAGAAATAGGGTCTTTAAAAGTTAAATCTCAGTTCATTGGGTCTGTTTTCTCCACTGCTATCTCTTGAAGTGTCTTTCCAATTTTATATAATATGAATCTGAGAAACTTTCCTGTTACAGAAAAGGATGGTTTCCATCATCATATACAAGACCACTGGAAGAACCAGCAGAAGAAAAAGGATTTGCCCCAGTGCCAAGGTAACGTTTTGTGTAGGACTTGCAGAAATGCTCAAATGTTATTTTTCTACTCATGTTCTTTGTTGTTCAGTACCATACATAGTATATACTTCCTGACAGTGTGTAATATGATGCCTTGATTACATTAACATGTTCTGATGGTTATGCAAAGACCCAGGAACTACCTTCACCCCAACTTTAGAGTCCTGCTGACTTCAGCAGGGTTGTACGCTGTTACTAACTTTCAGCTCATGAAGTTTTGTGGTTCTTGGGGCTAAAGTTGAGAGAGATGACTGCAAATGTCGTTTGTTGGGTTCTGTCTTGCAGCCCTGCACCAATCCGAAGTATTAGTTCTGTAAACCTTGTTGAAAAAGGTGATGTTGTCCTCCCGCCACCAGACTACCTGGGGTCTTTGCAAACAGAGAAGAGAATGGAGCCTTCCAAAGGTGCTGCTGTTAAAACACCGACTGACAGACCAGAAAATGCTGGCCCAGTAAGTCATTGATACATCACAAATCCAAATGTTCCCCCTACTTTTCTTCACCTACTTAGCTGAGCTCTTAAATGAGGCTCTGGAATGTTCTGCTTTAGCTACTTGTGCTTGACTTTGCTGCTGCTGTCTTCAGGAATGTCGTCAGGTTTTGGTATTTCAGACCACCAGTAGTAATAGGAAAGGAGAAGTGTTCAGGGATGTAAGTGTACTAGGAGACTTATTCTGCACAGCAAACTTCTCAGGAATGGAATCTGTTGAACATGAAAAGAATTCTCACAGAAAATAGTAAATTAAAACAGTACAAAAGTGATTTTTTTGTAATGTCACATTTTATACATTGGTTCCTATGGCTGGTTGTTGAGACCTCATGGGATCAACATGTCCTTCAAATGCAGTTATGTTCCCAACAGTTAAAAGATGTCAGCCCATGGAAGCTGCTAAGTGAGCAGTTGAATGAGTTCTCTGCCCTGTGACAAGTTGCCTTACTCTAGAGCTTAAAAATTATTGCATCTCATGAACTGTCTGGGTGTCACGGTGCTGTGCTACTGGTGTTGCTATGGATAACTGTTCTCAGTCTCAAAAGTGATCACTGTAAGCATTGCTTTATTAGTTCTGTGACATTAGTTCAGGGATTTGGGGAATAAATTTAGGACTTGTGGACTAGTGTTCTTGTTGAACTGAAAAACCAAGGGGAATGGCAAAGCATTTAGTTGACAGACTAGGCCAGAATTCTAATTAGAAGAGTATATTCTCTTTGGAGGCCAGAATGGAAGCTTATGGCATTTCCAGAGTGGAAAACAAATGTACCTTTTTTGAGATTCTGAACTGCAACAGGGAAAGCAAAACTAAAAGAAAAAAAGGCAATTCTGAACTATAAAATAATACCTGCTGTTGAGATACCCTTTTACTGTGCCCCCTCCCCCCCCGATTCTTCTTACCTGTTACCATACCAAAGAAGGAAGAAAACTGTAGAGGAGAGCAGTTGCTCTTGCACCTCAGTGTTCTGCTGGAAAGTCACTATTTTCCTTCTTCCTGAATTCCTCAGAGCTTCCTTGTCATTCCTGCTTCCGTGCAAGGCACCAACCCCCACACTACTGCAAGGCTTTGGAAGTAAGCTCATTAAACCAGGCTGGTCTTTAGGCTCATACAGAATTGACATACGTGTAAAGCAGTATGCTTACAGTGTCTGTTATGCAGAAGCAAGATTCCTTGAGGCATCTGATTTTTCAGAGTACACGATAAAAATAGATCAGGATTTCAAGAAGGAAAGATGAGGAATGGCTCTTGCAAGTTATATTGTTCATGCTCTCATGTAGGACAGTACTATGCAGAACAGTATTACCTAAGAAAGACTTAGTAGTTAACAGGGCTTTGAGAGTTTGAGTTCAGTGAGAAGTAGCATTTGTTCATTCTAATTAATTTTAGGGCTAAACTGGACCTAATTCTAAGGTCTAAGTCTATTCCTGACTGATATACACGAGCAATTTCATTGGAATCACAAGTCATGCACATGGGTAAGAACTCTGCTGAATTAGGTCCTGATTAAATAGGTTTCTTCATGTGCATCATGATATTGTGAATACGGTAGGTAGGACTACTGGCACAATAGAGAGCGTGCCTGAAAACAACAGGCTCACAGGCCTTTGCTCAGCAGTGACATTTTAAGTCTTAAAACCAAAGTGGCCATAAAGACTGAACGATTAATACAACTCAAGCTGTTGCATAAAAGGTGGCTGCATATTCCTGCTTCTACATGCAAGAGTGTGTATTCAAATTTTCATTTTGAACTGTATCTGACACCTATTAGAAGCAACACAGTCTGCAGTTTAAA